GCACTCGTCGTTTTTCCTTGTTTCACCTTATTTTCCTTGTTTCACCTACTATAATATTTATTACCCGAAGTCACCCTCTTTTTCACTTTTACCTAAACATCTTTAACCTCTGTACACGCAATATATATATATATTTATCATAATCATTCCTGATGTCTTTCGCATAGAACATAGTATAATTCCCTATATTCGAATCAAATACCCAAGATAAAAATATCTTGCATTACCATGAATGACCCCAAAAAATCATTATCTGATAAATTTTCAAAATTATCCATGATCCTACGTATAATGACTATGGTGTAAGCATATAGGTCGAGTTATGATTAAGACTCTCGGGGCGAAGAATGAAAAATTCGTTTTCGAAATTTCGGAAACAAGGTTAAAAGAAGAACGACGGAATTCTTTCTAGTCCTTAGTCACGTAATTCTCCAGTTTCGGGTCTCCCGAGTTTGGCTGCGCCGAGACGAGGTAGATTACCTACGTGCATATATAGAATCGTATCTATATGTATAATACAGAAACAGTATGGGGGTCCAGGCAAGTTTCCGATTCACCGTAAGTACCGACACGGTGTATCCGAGCGACGATCCGGGCTACCATAAGAGGCGGAGCTTCCCATAGCCAATCAGCATCCGGGATTTCCATTTGAGTTACCCCCACCACCACCAATTCACCGTCACTCTCATCGTCCTGTCTCTCTCACGTTATAGCAGCTCCCTTCTCCTTGTCCTTCTCTCTCTCTCTTTCGCTCACTCTTACCGCTTACTCGATCCTCTCTATCCCTCTCACTCTCTCTCTCATGGGTTTTCTTACCTTTGCTTATCTCCTGTGTATCTAGCCGTATCTATTCCTGCCTTTTCCTTAGCTCCTTGCGAACTTCGGAATTGAGAATTCCAGATTGGCAGCGTATGGGCTCCTGACGTCATAGGAATACACTAGATAGATGCGCGATAAATGACTACATATATATATATACACGTAAACCAGGCAAAGGATCGTCGAGTAATCGCACGTAGAACAACGATACCGGAAGTGGTTGATTCGTAAACAAAATTTTATATTACATTGATGGTTTCGTCGAAACGAAAAATATGCAGGTGTTTTTTAGGAATTTTCTGAAATTTATATACATGTATATACGCGTGGTATGTATTCTACATAGGTATGTATCTTCCCGTTGAAGGACTCTAGGGGCAATATCGTGAATTTCCGCTCAGCGAAGCGCGTCTTTGGCTTTGCGCAGAACCTCCCCTCCCTCTGTCTCCCTCAAGGATGTCCCTTCTCACCCCCCCCCCCTTTCCCCGGCATCCCTTTCCATTGGGGAAAGCTCCCTTTACCTTATGTACCTTCTATCCTATATCCACCTTCTTTCCCTTAGCCATTCGCGTGATTCCAGGCGTCTCGACGCCGACGTCCGCGTCCCCCGGGGACTTCCTCCTTCCCGCGGTCCTGTTCTCGGTTCTTGGATTTATCCTGATTCCTCGTCGATGCTTTTCTCGTCTCTTCAACTTCCAACCCCTGAAAAGGGGGCTGGTAACTTTCTCGAGGGTCGAAGTCAGACTACTACTACCGATATACCAGTTATTTCAGGCACTTTGAAAGTGACTGTACGTCAGTCAGATTACCGTAGGCAAAATTTCGTTCGGATGTTAAAGATTTAACGAAGGGGAAAAAAAAATAAAATTACACATATATATTCCATCGTCCACAAGCGACAGGAAGCCAGTCAAATACGTTAATGGACGGTTTTAATTATTTTTTTTTTTTAATTTCAAGCGTGACAAAAATCGACGCTGGTGACGTCACGTTTGCAATCCGACGCCGTCGACGGGTGTACCTGGTCCAGGGTCCGATGGACCATCCGTCCATCCGACTGGCTGACTAACGGATCGAGGAATACGAAGGAAAGGGGGTGAAAGGAAAGAGAGAGCACCGATAGATAAACGGGTGGTTCAGAGGGGCATAGGGAGTGCGAGAGAGAGAGAGAGAAGCAAAGCGCAAAAACAGGCTGGCAGCTGAGTGTACATAGGAACCTCTTCTCTTCCAGTCTCTCTGCAAGGCTGAACCTTTCGAATCTAACCCATCAGTCCTTTCCTCCCTGTTCCTGTCTACCGAAGCCTCCTGGTGCCCATTGCCTACTATCCAGTATTCAGTACAGTCTGGCACACGTGGTTCAGGACGCAGAAGGCAGAAGGGCAGTCGGCAGGAGCCAGCTAGTAGGTACCCATGGAAGTCCATTGCATCTCGGGACCTATGCAAACAACGAGGTATTCATTGGGCAACATATCCCGCAGGATACGAGAGCGCGTCCCTATGATTTAATGGAAGTGATTCCCCTACCCATTTAGGAGTTACACAAAACTTCTGTGTTACTTCGGTAGAGGGAAATTCAGATAAAACACAAAAGCCTGTCTGGATGATATTATGTGATAGAATACGTTATTCTTCGTTGTCACTTTTACGCATATCGCTCCTACGTATTCCTGGGGACTTTTAGTCGTTCAGATTTTCAAATATGCAGAGCAAAGACTCTCGTATGGATCTTCTTTTTTTTTCCATGTCAGAGAAGTAATATGAGTGGGTGGATAAATGTGGAGTAGAAGTTGGTAAGTCAAGAGAATAGAAGAGAACTGAAAGAACAAAGAAAGCTCCGGTACAAAGCTTAATAATGATGATGATGATAGAACTTTGTTCTAAGAGTTGGAAGGCCTGGGGCAACGTTGAGAACCCTCGTGGTGGGGATTGGTATGGGGGGTTGCGACAGGACGAAAGAGGGTAGATCAACGGCAAAGAGGAATGGCTTAGCTTGTAAGTGAAGTTTATTGCGCGATTATATTAAATCTCTTGGTGGTAGAGGGAGAGGGGGGGG